TATTTCCCATGACAATCTTGTGGTGATTGGGGATTTCAACTATCCAGAAATTTCCTGGCCCCTTACTGCAGGTCTTGAAGTATCGCAAAACTCTGTTTCACACTTTATAAATTTTATTATAGACTACACTCTTGAACAACTTATAAACGAACCTACCCGCTTTCGGTTAAATCAAGAACCTTCAACTCTAGACCTTATATTAACAAATGACGACCAACTTCTAATTTCTCCATCTGTCCACTCACCTATTGGGAAATCTGACCATGGCGTTATTATATTTAATATGCAATTTAACATAGAAACCCCTACTTCCGATAGGGACGTAACCTATAGTGTCACAAACTTTAATAACGTAAAGATAGTCCTCTCCGAAATTGATTGGAATCACTTTTTTAGAAGTGCCGTATTAGTAGAAGATATGTGGACACTATTTCATACAAAGATATCTGAAATTGTGAAGGCTAACACAAAAAACAAAAAATGTCCTCAGAACAAATTAAAACCCTGGATCAATGGACAACTCTTAACTTTAATAAAACATAAGAAAAATATGTGGAAAAAATTTAAAGCAATCAAAAAACATGATGATTTTGTTAACCATCGACGTTTCGCAAACGATTTAATCAATGTTATTTATAATGCAAGAAGAGAATACGAAGAATATATCGCTAGTAGCGATAACCCCAAGAAGCTATTTAAACACATAAGATGCTCTCTATCTTCCAAAGTATCAGTACCGCTTCTTAAAAAAACGGATGGAAACTTATGTAATAATGATCAAGAAACAGCTGAAGCTCTGGCCAACCATTTTTCACAAGTGTTAGAACCCACAGGCGACATCCCAGTTAGTCACGATGCCCGAACAGCAACCTCTTTATGTAATGTCGAGTTCTCATCTGCAATTGTTAATGAAACTCTCAAAAAAATTCAATCAAATTCCTCACCTCAAATTCCTCACAATTTATCCGCAATGCTTTTAAAAGAATGCGCATCTTATTTGGCTTTACCTCTATCCATTATTATGACATCTTCCTTTACATCTCACACACTTCCTTCAATGTGGAAAAGTGCTTCGGTGACACCTATTTTTAAAAAGGGTGACAAACCAGTCCATCCAACTATCGTCCAATAAGCCTCGTCTCAATTGCCTGTAAAATAATGGAATCCATCTTAACCAATTATATGTCTGATTTTCTCAAGAGCCATGACGTCTTGCCAAAAGAACAACAGGGTTTTATTAAAGGCCGATCCACATTAACAAACCTAATGACCTGTATAAACGATTGGACTACGTCTGTGGACAATAAAGAGCCAGTCGATGTCGTCTATCTTGATTTCGCTAAAGCCTTTGATCGTGTTCCCAAAAAGAGATTGCTTTATAAGTTGGAAAAGGCTGGCATTCGCGGCTCTTTACTTCTCTGGATAAGTGATTTTTTGTCAAATCGCATCTTCAAGGTAAAAGTTGGACATATGTTCTCGTCAGAGTATCCAGTTCTAAGTGGTGTCCCTCAAGGCTCTGTCATAGGGCCATTACTATTCTTGGTATACGCTGCAGATCTAGGCAAATACTTAAATTCTAATATTTCGTGTTATGCTGATGACACTAAGGCCCAGCCATACTCATGTGCTATGTTACACGGGCCGCAATATTTTTGGATGATGACCTTTTTTTTAGGACATCTATCTAAAATTAGTTAGTGGGGACCTCTAATAAATAAAACACAAAACATAAATATATCCCGTTGTGTTACTGCAAAAACAAGATAATTCACATTTTTAGAGTTTCGATAAAACACTATTCAAACGTTTAAAACTGAATGAAAAATCAGTAAAAGCTTCAAACAGTTTATTAACTTCAATGAAGAAGGTATTGAAAACATTGTTCACAAAGTATAAACTAATAATCTATCAATAATTGGTAAAAAAAGAGAGAGAAAACGTCACTCAGCTTATTTTAGCTCTACATGCTAATCATAATTCAATGTATGTATGTTTCACTATCTTCAGTCGAAGTTTCAGTAACATTATTGGATACAGGTAGATTGTGATAATAATGGTGAAATTCATCATTGAAAACATTGTTCACAAAGTATAAACTAATAATCTATCAATAATTGGTAAAAAAAGAGAGAAAAACGTCAGTCACTCAGCTTATTTTAGCTCTACATGCTAATCATAATTCAATGTATGTTTCACTATCTTCAGTCGAAGGTTCAGTAACATTATTGGATACAGGTAGATTGTGATAATGGTGAAATTCATCAGGTGTATCTGATTTTGCAAAATTTTAGTAAATCTTTCTTGTACTTTTTTTAAGTACCTATTTTCAAAACTTTATTTTAACCCTTTATGCATCCCTCTGAATAAATACTGTGCGAGTTTGGCATATAAAGCCAGAGATGGCTCTAGTCATAAAAAAACAAATGGCGTGGGCAAAATGTTGTAATATTTCAATAAATACAAAAATAAGTAGCAGCAAACCACTCCCAAAATACGGCTACGTTTTCACTGGAAATCGAAATCACTACACATTTTCTCGAAAATTCCAAAATCATCATCATTCCAAAATCATCATCTAAAATCATGGTCGAAATCAATTCGTCGCTCACAACCCGAAATGGTGAGAAAAAAGATCATCCTATAAAATTAAGGTGGATTTTCAGTAAAATCACCTAAATATTACATAAAATTTTTTTAAGTGATTTCCGAAATACAGGTACGTTTTGACCTTATTCCTTTCCCCTCGGTTCTGCCCTTTTATCTTGTTTTGGCAGGAACACTATTAGAATCGGACTAAGTATATTTGGCAAAATTAGTTATATGCCTATTATCTGGTTTTGATAGACACATTTATCAATTGAACACAATGTTATGATTATGTTTTGATATAAATGCCACTCCATCTTGTTTTTCCATATTATTAATGTATTAACATAGAGTTAGTTTTTATTGGCTATCTGTTTATCATGAATATAGACTTCTTTCGCACTTGTAGAAAGTGTACCTACTTAACTCGAAAATTCCAAAAGTAGAGCTATCTGTTTTTGCAGTAACTCCACAAAATTCCAAACGTTTATTTAAAAATTAGCATACTATTTAGCGCTGCGACCAATAATAGTGTTGCGGGCCACAAAAAAAGCTTGGAGGGCCGCAGGTTGAGTATGGCTGCCTAAGCTATACTCTAATCCTGTGACAGATTCTACCCAGCTACAAAAAGACCTTGAAACTATTTCAAACTGGTGTGACACCTGGCTGCTTCCTTTAAACGCGGAAAAATGTGTCATCCTGCATATAGGAAAAAATAACCCGTGCGTGAACTATTATCTAAACGGTAGTGCGTTAGCAACTGTGAACTCCTATAACTTCCTGGGATTCATTGTGAACTCTTCATTAACGTGGTCAGAGCACATATCAGCGGTATGTAAACGTTCGAACTCAATGCTCTACCTATTAAAAAAGTCCTTCACGCGTGTGAACTTTCAAACATTTTCTAAAATTTATACAACTTACGTTAGACCGTTGATGGAATATGTCGGACCTGCGTGGTGTCCTGATCTGGTTTCTGACCCAAAAAGATTGGAAAATGTTCAACGCTACGCTACTCGAATACCTTTCGGCAGAATCAGACCATCGTATAAAGAACGGCTTAACATGGCGAATTTGTGTTCATTTTCCCACAGAAGATTAAGAGGTGTTTTAATTATGACAGAATTATTCATGGTACTTTTTCATCCAACCTCTATAGTATACTCCCACGGAATATAGATGAGCGCCTACGTGGACATGGGTATAAGTTGAGCAAAGAAAATTTTAAAACACGTACCCGACAAAACTTTTTTGTAATAGAGTTTTCTATATTTGGAATAATTTACCCTCGAGTGTTGTTGGCGCACAGTCAGTAAATGTATTCAAAAACCGACTCGATGACTTTTTTAAAGAAAACTAAAAGTTTATTTTTAGTGCTTTGTTTGCATTATGTTATTTGCTAATTACTTATTTAATAATTGTCTTTGTTATTAAACTTGTAATTTTGAACTTAATAGGATTCATTCCTCAGCCCTAATTTATTTGTAATAATAATAATAAGAATTATAACAGGATATACCTTTATCGTATTGAACTCAAATCATCGGTCAAAAATATGCTATATTACTTGTAACTTTCAATACACTAAGACAATCTTAAAAATTATAAAAAAAAATATTACAGATAGTGTGTCATTACCTGCTATACTAAGTTCCATAACTTTTTCTTTAGAAAAAAAGTAAAATAATAAATATTCACTGTTTAAATTAAGGTTTTCACTCGTATGCTTTCACATACACATATACCAACTAAAACAGTCAAATTCAAACTGCCAGTGAAGAAACGGGGTGCACTGAAGGAAAACGGGAGGGGATAGATAATGAGCTCTAACTAGTCCCCTAACCCAGGTACTCGTTTTTATTTAAAAATTTTGCATTTTGTAAAATGATGTGAGACAAAATGCATATATTGTGGCTTCAGTTTCGCTTTTATTTATAACCTCGGTTGCCAGCTATTGGAGTGTTGCTCGAATTTTGAATTCTATTGGTTAGACTTCGCGTCGGTGTTACTGACTCCTTAAAATTAATCGTTTAAAATTATTTCGCTTGCAATGTGTAAGTGAAAAGCATTGTGTCAAGAGGGATATAAAAGATAATACTATGTTTCCTGTGTCTGTGTTAGTTACTTTGCATTTAATCATATTGATACCTTTTTGCCAGACTATCGTGAGTGAAGTGAACAAAAGTCGCTTACGTTAGTCTGGCAAAAAGGTATCGATATGGTTGAATGTTTTTAGTTTGTACTCTATGCCAATTAAAATTCGAAGAATGTTAAAATGCAGTTTCATCTGATTAATTATTTTATCGTCTATTTGTTATATTAATTGTAAATGTTCAAATACGAGTAGATGGTTGCATTTAAACATTATTGTACGTTATTAAATTGTATAAAATAATTATTATGTAATTCTATAGATTTGAAGCTACAAAACGGAAAATAGAACGAAAATATTCTGATATTGAAAAAGCCCTCATAGAAGAATTTGTAGTTGCTATGGACAATGAAAATTTAACAAGAATGAAAGAGATAGCTACAGTTCTTTCACAGTTCAAGGGATACTCTCAATGTGTTGATGCTTATATAGATCACAGTCAAATGGTATGTACCTTAGGGAAATAATTCTATAAGATAACTACGATAAATTTTGTAATAACTGCAAAATAGTTGTGAGAAGTTCGTAAATTGCTTGGTTTATGAAATTGTTTTCAGAAAAATTACTGATTATGTTTATGTAACTTAGTTATTAATTAAGAACTAACAGCAAGCTGGGAACTTGTAGCTGATGACTTGTCATAAAAGTTCTAAATGAACAAAATAGAGGATATATTTATGAGGATTTTGTGGATTTTAAAATAAGCTGAAGCTGCCTTGATAAATTTAATTTTACTATTGTTAAGAAATTGAGAAATAATTATTTTACTAATGGAAACTTTTTTGTTTTAGGGCTGTTTGTCCAGCAAAGACGTTTTTATTAGTTTTCTGAATCTGTGTAAATACAACAATGAAATTATCCAGAAAGTTTTTAATAATCCAGAACAAGTTATGGCTAAATTTGTATTAAACATATATCAATTAAAATTGGTGGAATACATTGATGACAAACTGAATTCTAAATTAGGAACTTATAATTACTTACAGACATTATATGAATTGTATTCAAAGTAAGTAAATTTTATGTTCACCTGAGATATACATTTTTAAAATATTATTTAAAATATAAAGAGATTATTCTAATCCAAAAGTAATTACCACTAGGCTCATGATATCTCCAGGGGTTCTCTATACCTTTTGTGAGTAAATACAGAAATAATTATTTTTATAAAAAAGGAACAGCTATGCCGATAATCAGGAGTTGACAATTAGTAAATAGAAGTTAAGTTAACAGAAAGTCTGTTCAGGATTTATTTTTTCTTAAAATAAAATTTCAAGCGGACTATTAATTGTAGGAAAAACAAATTAATATGTGTCTAGTTGGCTAATACCATGATACTAACAATTTCTATACAATCTTTTTATTGTATCATCAGCCAGTGCCTCGTTTAATACTTTGTAACCTCAGTTTAAAAAAGTAACATCTTAAAATAACGTATTTTTGAAACGTTTAGTTTATGTCAGTTTTTAAAGAAGATGTGAAGAGAATTTTGTGAGTTCTAAACGGAAATAACAATATTTATCATTTTTATTTATTCAAATAGGTACACTACAGAATTATTTTTCTAAATAGAACGCATTAAAATACTTATCTAAAAGCAACCAAGTATCGATGGTTTAATTCTTACACCTCGTAATCCACAAAGAGTAAATTTTACAGCAGATGCAAAAAACTCTCTCCTGACACATGTATCGTGCGGGTTAGGACTTCTTAAAAATCGCGGGAATCAACTAGAAATAATTTTCTATTGATTAAACGTTAAAACATGAATTCGTAAAAATTGTGGGTTACGACTTGTTATAAACATAAAATCGTTAAAAAAATTGGAGTAAAGCTTAATGTAATATAATTCTATTTTAGGACTAATCAGTTATCAAATGATTTAAGTGTGTTTAATATGGGAAATGATAAAAATTATTTGAGAAAGTTAACAACTAATATTTTTAATAAATATATAAATGACTATATTACGTAAGTATTACCTAAACTTTATTAAATTTTATTTGATTAACAATATATTTTATATTATATTATATTTAATATACTGGAGTGCAAAATTAACTGGCGTTTAAAAAAGTTCCAAGACGTTCCTAATTAAATATTACATAAACAAAGTTTAAAAGGAAAATTTATTACAAATCAAGAATCACACAAAGAAAAAATAATCAAAAATACCAAAAATTAATAAATCTGCAATCAAAGGAAAATTCATTTTTTTAATTTTAAACATTTTTAAATAAAACTATATTTAGTAGGGTGTATTGCCTCTATGGGCCTTAATTACGGCTCTCATTCGATCAGACATACTTTGGATTAAGACAGACCATTCTTTCGTCACGAACTGCTTGCTCCAAGTCATTAATGGTGTGAAACAACATGGTTACGTCGAATACGTTGCCCCATAATATCCCATGCATGTTCTATTGGATTTAAGTCGGGACTCATTGGTGGCCATGGTAATATAGGAATCCTAACTTCATCCAAGTAAGCCCGTGTTTATTCTTGCAAAAAATGTCTCCAACAAATGCGATAAATGGTACTACATGATCTTCCAAACATTTAACTCACCTCCTCGAATTGTAACAAGTTCTGTATGAGCCTTTAGGGAAATGCCTGTCCACACCATTAGACCACCTCCACCAAATTTAACTCTAGAAGTAAAACAACATTAATAATAATTTTCACCAGATCCTAGATCGCTCATTTGATGAGTAGTCCAGTAAATACGTAAATTTACCTGGAAAAATTTGCGGAAATTTTGATATTTTGTGATTCTACGTATTTTGAGCTGCTTTTTCCGAATTTTTATTTTGCCACCTCGTATCTTTGCCGCTGTCGCCGCCATATTGCAATAAATTGTAAAAAAAAGATTTTTCAAGATATCTCGTTACTCGTTGCTTTTGCAGTCAAAATGGTTATGTAGTAAATTAAACTACATCATTTTCTCTACCAAATTGATCCTTATCATTTTTTTCATAAAACCAACCGTTTTCGTGTACGAGAATCACAAAGTTGAGCAAGTACGCAGCGTGCAAAGCAATACGATTTTTATTCATTGAGCCTACTGCTCGAATCTAAAAGTTGGCTTCACTAGGATTTTGTTCCTCGTACACGGAAGCAACACTTTTTAAAGTTTTTGAAGGCGCTCCGTCAAGCGAGCTGCAACCTCATCGATAACGTCCTTTCTAGCGGATCTAATGCAGATCGTCTCGTAGTCATCTTCCACCTTATCGAACTCAATTTGAGTTTCAATGTATCGATGATCACTTTGGATCATATCCTCATACAATTTCCACTGTGTGGTTTTATTTAACAAATATCCGCTTGTGATAGTAACATCAATATTATCCTCCCCGTTTACCGTGGAAAAGGTATAGGAAGAAGTGTCAGTAAACCATTCATATCAGAAATCTTTTATAGCTTGTTTGCCTTTCACCGACTAACTCCGACACGATTTTTACTGTTTTAGCATCAGCCTCTGAAAAAGTCATTAATTCAGCAAACATGTTTCATCACTTGATCAGCTACTGTATTTTAAAGCAAAACAAATTGTCTGTTCGAGTGGCACGGAAGCAAAATTGAGAAATGTTATACGATTAGGTGGCTTTCATTTATTGATGTCGTTCATGTGAGCCATAGGGTATAATTATGAATGGTAGTGGATTAACCGAGCTTCTAAGTACAATTTTTGCAGCGAATTCACTTGAAAAGATGTTATCTGGACAGGGATTCTTATGTGCGAACTCAACACGTAACGAATCAAATAGAGAGAGAGACATTACATATGAATCGCATTCTGTAGAACGAAGATAGTCGTCTCAATACGTGCCGTATTGAAAGATGAGAATCCCAATGCACGTCATGCATACTCTCGTCCGTGCAGAGCACATGTGTCCATCTCGCAAAATTGATCATGCAAGAAATTGATTTATCACCAGACCAACATGCAGGACTGGAAGCAATTCTTTGCGATTTCGACAAGTCTGTAATACTTGGAGCAGACCAAGAAGAATGCGCCAAAGAATTAGCTTCAAAATTTGAAAATCATCTATTAACGTGGTCCAACTGCTAAATTATGGGTTTCTTACTTTCGCATGGTATCAGTTATGAAACAATTTATTAAGGCCGAAAGAAGCGGAAACTGGGACCTTCATCTTAATAATATCCAGCAAATGTCGCCCTATTTTCATGCCAGTGGTCATTTTTTGTTCGCTAAATGTGGCCATTTATATTTACAGGATAAGTATAGTTTAAAAGCAAAGATGAAGCCTACAGAATACAGCTCTTTTACAGATGGAGGGCGCTTCACAATTAAACGTTCTGACAAATTTTGGTGTGGCACATGGACAGACATGGTTACTCTGAGAAACGATTAATGCAAACGATGAAAACCGTAGGTGGACTAACTCGTGGGCGGGGAGTCCAGGAGAGCGTACTTTCTAGGTGGACTATGGGAATGTTATTTCTTGCACAATATTTGTGACGCGGTTAAAATTTTTTTTAATGTAGAGTTTAGCACTTCGGAACAGCATGTTGAATTGAGAAGTTCCTGGATTAATCGTGATAACAAAGACGTAAAAAAATTAATTAGTGGATTGATTTTCCCAACATGTCAATAAGAACTGGCGTCATTTTTGCTGTAAAACAACTAGTAACCAGATATCTTCAAAAAACTTCTTTTTTCACAATTTATTACAATATGGCGGTCACGGCAGCAAAATTACGAGGTGGCAAACCCGTGTTGATATCGAGGCACCAGACAATGAACTGCGCACGGATTTGTTTGGAAACAAGCCGTATTTGCTCATATCCAAATTCGTGTTGATCTTAAAGACGAAATCGAAAAATCCACGTCCAACCTACTGCAATCTCTCGTAGAAAAAATACAGGTAGACCCCCGAAAGCTTATGAAGGCCAAATAAGAAAACGTCCCCGTTCTCATAATATTTCTCTTAATATTAACAATAATCAACCAGTTGCAAAAAAAAAACATTAGAACTTACCTTCCTACATAATGAAAATTATTTTGATTTGTTTGTGAAAATAATAATTATTTAAATATAAGTATGTTAGCAACAAATAAGTATATAACTAGTACCTCATATTATTTGTTCTGTGCCTAGGTAGAAAACCCCCAAAAATTAATTAAAACATTTTAAAAGCAATACAAAATTTTTCGTTTCTGACTTTCTGTAATTTGAACATGAATCGCCACATTATGAGTTAGACGCGGCTGTGACGTTCATTGATTTCAATAGGTATTGTCAGCAATGCTCCATAATAAAACAAATAAAAAATAACCTGCACCAGTCACAAAAAGTATCGCATAATCTAATAATGTTAGGTACCTACTACTAATTTTCTACTACGAAAGATGTATTAGACCATTAAAACACGTTTTCTATACATATACGTATAGACTATACCTACTACTTACCAATTTTTTCCTCATTATTTTATGTGGACATAAGTATACAAATAAAAATTAGTTTAGTTAAATCACTTTTATATTACTAGAATATTTAACACAATTTTGTTCCATTGCTCTAGACGTAAGTTATGCGATCCTTTTTGTGTACCGTCTCCATGTTCAGTACCAAGATGCTCTTTGAAATGAAAACGGAAACGTGAACATGTACCTTCATTCATTTCCAAACAAATCCGTGCGTTGTTCATTGCCTGGCGCCTCGAAATCAACACGGGTTTGCCAATAAATATTGCAATACTTTCCCGTGTTTATTTCAAGATCGCGTCGGTTTGAATTGAACACGGAAACGTAAAATCGCCCCCAGGTGCGCCCCACGGTTCGGCGGCATTGTTCATAAGCAATGTATACTCTTTTGACTCCCTGTTTGCAGAATGACCAGGTCATCTGCTCTTTTGACTTCATGTTAACTTGCTGTCAAATGTGAGACATAGGTACTTCACCTCTGTTGCAAAGTTTAGTTTTGTGTTTAGGAGTTTCTTGAGGTTTTAATTCCATTTTCATCCTTTTCCTTATGAAAAGGACCATTTCTGTCTTCTTAGGATTGATAGACAATGAATGGTCCTTGCTCCACTGGTCTATAATTTTGAGAGGTACTTGCATTCTTTCGCAGATTATGTTCTCAAAATTCCCTGTTTGCAGAATGACCAAGGCATCTGCTATTGTGTAGTAACTGTCATTATTAAGGTGGCTGATGAGGGTGTCGAGGACCATGTTCCACAGTGGACATCCCCTCGCACCAAGCCTCTTATATTTACATCTACATTTATGTTTACTGCTCGCCTTGAGAGCATGTTATGTATCCACCCACTAACCGTCTGTTTGTGTAACATTCCTGTTGGTTAGTGAGTGTATTATCTTTGGGAAGGTGGTTTTATCAAAAGCACCTTCTGTGTATAAAAACAGCCAAGGCGGACTTCGTATTGTCCACTGATCTCTTCATCCGGCCAGCAACTAGATGAAGGGCTGAATCAGTAGATCTGCCTGGGGTGTATGCATGTTGGTTTGGGTATAGTGGTGTTGTTGTAATCACTGCATTCCTTATGTACCTTTCGCATAGCCTTTCCAATGTTTTCATGGAAAATGATGTCAGACTAATTATTGGTCTGTATGTTTTTGGGACAGTGTAATCCATCCTTCCAGGTTTGGGTGTAAATACCACTTTTACCTCTCTCCATTTTTTGGGGATATACCTCAGTCAACGAGGATCTGAATATACCCACCAGGTGCGGCGTCAGTTCTTCCAGACCCCACTGAAGTAGGGCTGGATAGATACCGTCAGGTCCTGGCGATTTAAATAGAGATAAGCTGGATATTGTCCATCTAATTTTTTCATCGTCTATAATGTGTTTGGCAGTTTCCAATCATAGATACGTACTAATGCGCGCTTACCTTTAGTGAGCTATAAAACCACAATGACGACCAACTATAGTTGGTGCACCGTCAGTCCCAACAGAAACAATGTTCTTCCATGGAATAGCTTTGT